CTGTTTCCTTGTACTGTTTGCACAACCGCCTCCGGATCAATGTACAAGTTCTGAATGAGCACAATGAAGTGTTCTGGAATTCCCAGTCTTCTTACAGTTAGCTTCCATTTATTATGGTCCACGCAGTCGAATGCCTTTGCATAGTCAATGAAAACACAAGCAATCATCTTTTAGGTATTCTTTGCATTGAACCAAAATCCATCTGACACCAGCAATGATATCCCGTGTTCCATGTCCTCTTCTGACTCTAGCCTGCATTTCTGGTAGTTCCCTGTCAATGTTGTCGAGTAATCTTAAGCAAAGTGTTACTCGTAGGCAATATCAATGTGATCATTCTATAGTTAAGCCTTCTGTTGGGTCACCCTTCTTTGGAATGGTTACAAATATGGATCTCTTCCAGCCCGTTGGCCAGGTAGCTGTCTTCCAGGTTTCCTGGCATTGGCGAGTGAGTGCTTCCAGTGCTTCTTCAGCTTTCTGAAACACTTCAGTGGGTGTTCCGTCAATTCCTGGAGCCTTGTTTTTGGCTAATGCGGTCAGCACAGTTTGAACTTCGTCCATCAGCACTATTGGTTCTTGCTCATATGCTACTTCCTGAAATAGAACAAAATCTAAGTCCTTGTAATAACATGATTGCAGTCTCATTTTATTATTCCTTTCTACTTTTAGTCATCATTTTCCATTTACTGCAGAGCTAACACTATTTTCTTTTAAAATGGATTTACTAAAGTTAATGTAGATATCTGGATTATGTATGCTGTTATACACCTATACAGAGAGAATATGTAACCACAGATACTAATATGGCAAAATCCTGATGGGAAATGCAAATGATTGAAGTTTCAAAAGCACTCATATGTTCTTTTAAACTATGTAAAGAAAATTCGATTATTACTACATTTGTATGGTTTTTAAAAGATTTCTATTGAATTTTCCCCCTCAGAGTTATGGTATAAAATAAATACACTTTCAATCAACAGCGTATTTTAATATTCTCACTCATTAGTAGCACTGAAAAAATGAATCCTGTACATTTTCAAGACTTAAAATGGTTTGGCATACTGACAAACAAACAAACTGCTCTCCAACGATGAAATCGTCGGCAAGGAGGGCTGGGGGAAATGGCAAATTTCCAGGAAAGAATCATGAAGAATGTATACCATTACACGATGTGTTGGCCTTTAGACAAAATGAAAATAATATAAGCCATATTGCAAGGAAAGTGGATGGAATAGACTGTTTTGAGGATTTTCTTTGTGCTAATAGTTACCATCTGTTTGCCAGGGTGGCCCAGGACTCCGAGGACCAAAGGGTCAACAAGGCGAACAGGGTCCAAAGGTAATGTTCCTCCTCGCTCACAATCTGCCATCATGTTACAGTCCATCACCAGGGACCCTGTGCAAAGTGAAGCTCCCTAGAGTTTCCTGGAAACTGCAACCGACTCTTCCTGTTTCTGAAAGACTTGTGCTTTTTCCTCCAAAGGAGCATTTGATCACCCAATGAAAAGATGGGTTTCTGGGTCAGAAATAAAAGCGTGCCAATGTTCTGAGTGATGTAGTCTCGAGGGTCGTATTCTCTGTGTGTGTCTCTGTCTGCCAGTCTCTCTCTCCACGTTTGGATCGCATTCCCTGCCATTCTCTGCTTCCTTTATCTACCATGTGATGCGTCCTTGGGAAAACACTGCATCACAGCCAGGCAGCAGTCTCTCTCAGGGAATGTCTCAGCGTTGGGATGTCTTCTCCCTTGCCCCTCTATACAATCAAATACCAAGCTTTGCTTTCCATTCCTATTGCCCAAGGCCTTCCAGGCATCAGCTAAGGAGACTGAGCCATGCCAAGCCATGCCAAACCGTGTCAAGATATGTGGTTTTCTACTTTGCTTGACTGGAGGAAAGGGTGTTGAGGAAGCACAGGGAGGATGGCAGGATGGAGGTGGGAAAGATCACCAGGCCCAGGGGGAATGTCTCCCACGGACGCAGAGGCATGCCCTTGAGGTTGGTGGTTGGCAGCAGTGGAGATGGAGCTTATGAGGTTCAGCATGGTGGTGGAGCTTCACAGACCAGGAGGGTGGTCTGGAGACCTTTCTCCCTTTGAAATGTGTTATGGAGTGTGGGGAGTCCTGCCACTCACACAATTGGCATAGTATTCTTCTTTAAGGAAGCAAAACAGAAAGTTACAGCAATCCCAGTGTGTTTACTCTTCTGGCTGACTGATGACTCTTCTGATTGATGACATTTTGCCTGGGAGGTGAAACATTTGAGGCTTGGTGTCTTCCTCTCCTATGAATGTTTCAGGTCTTAGGGGGAAATTATCTAAGGGAACACGTTTTATATGTCCTAAGCAGAAGCATCTTTTGGGCATCAGAGTGACCAGCTAATTTCTGGCCTGACTTTTCTCCATTGCCTTTCAGGGACCAGAGGGGCCTCGAGGTGAAACAGGCCCGTTGGGACCTCAGGGTCCTCCTGGACCCCAAGGACCAAGCGGTCTCTCCATTCAAGGAATGCCTGTGAGTGTTGTGGAAAGATTTCCAAGGGCTTTATGATTACGTCATCGTGAGGCTGCCAAGAATGATCTTTTGTCTTCTGTGCCTTGATAATGAGCCCTAGTCCGTTCTTACCCCTAAAATAAAGAGTTGAGAAATGAATTGCATAAAACTTACGTCATGACTATGGGCCCATTCATTAGCTGTGTCTTTAGCCAATTTCTTGTTCAATGATGGGCTCCTCTTTTATGTAACAGACGGGTACACACATGGATAGTAAGGACACCCACAAGGATTTTGCCTGTAGAAGAAACACAGGCCTTAGCGGGTAGAACCTGGATGAGCTGAGTCCTCCAGAGGTGTGATAAAACCCAGAACAAAACAAACATTGACTAATGTTAAATTCTTCTGTATTTATTTGTAGTAAGTGTGGAAGTAGCTTCCGGAAAGCCACTGACTCATATTTTTATGTGGGCGGGCATCGAAGTGCCGTCTATTGAGTGTGGGATTCAGGTTTCACAGGTGCACTTGAGGAGCCTGCACCGCCCCCCCCACCCCCAAACTCCTTCATTCCAACGGAAAACAAATTGCATGCCACTCGCCGAATTTCTTACTGATAGGCACCTAGATTTAATGAATAGAACCGAGTTTGACAGTAAATATTTGCAGCATCCAAATCCTTTTAGACATACCCTCAGTAGACATCTTTTGTTCATCTGATGACATCTCACTAGCTGAGAAGGTTTCATCACAGAGTTATGTCCACATTTTAGAAAGCATGAACGCGCCAATTTGTATAATTACTACTCCTAATAACAAACATGTGTTGAGGTCTTATTACCTGCCTGGTCCTGCGCTGGTTTTCCCATTTTAACATCCCAAGAGCCCAAAACAAACTGTATCAACAAGCCCCAAACAAACTAATGTAAACTTATACTACACCTCAGGCTGACATGTTCTAATAGCCCCTCCACAGACTGCCACTGTGGGCTGTATATTTAGATGACGGTTGCGTATATCAACAATGGAGTGCCGTAGGAATGTGGGTGTAAATAGCATCTCCTATGTAAGAAGTAAAGCGCTCTGTAGTTGGATGTTGGCTCAAAAGCAATTTAATGTTAAGATGTTCAAGCCGCAGTTGGGAGTGGGAGGTGGGTAAAGATGAAAATTTATTATGTGATCGTAACCTTTTCTTGTGCTTTTCAGGGAATGCCAGGAGAGAAAGGAGAAAAAGGAGAGACTGGTCTTCCTGGACCACAGGTATGATTTCTATTTTTTAGTCTGCTCCTTTCCTCTAGAGGTTTGCTAGGAAGGAGGGGAAAAGACTATGAATTTGGCAACAAGTGGTTTCCTTATTAGAGGCTGTTTGACTGTTTGCCTGAACAGGCAGTCCCCGGTTACAAATGAATATCTGACTAACCTTCAGTGCCTGAATAGAAATTTAACTCCTGTAAAGCCTATTTTAAGAAAGATTCCAGACACTTACAATGGATGGTAACAACAGATAGGCACTGCGTACAATATAATAGGACAAAAAAGTTTGAAGCTGACATTAGATGATAACCATACCTCACTGTTCTGACTTAACGTACAAATTCGACTTTAAAACAAATTTCAAAAAACAAAACAAAATAAAAAACAAATTTCATACTCTGGGGACTACCTGTAATCATTGCCCATAAGCCCCTTCTAGGGGTCATCCTGATGCCCCCTAGCCTGAGCTCTGGTAGGGGACACGTATTTCCTAAGAATAACTTCTGGGTTCTGAATTCTAAGTCACAAAGACCTCACCTTCATGCCATTAGTTTTGTTTGGAGGCCTTGATCTGGTTCAGATAAGCTGGGTTACAGGAGAACTCCTTTCTGTGCATCTAAGTCCATTTTTGTCCTTGTTTTACTTAGGGTGTCCCAGGAGGCATTGGTTTACCAGGACGAGATGGCTCACCAGGACAGAGGGTAAGAACTTATCTTACCGTTGGTAGTTAGTGAAGCCAATTTCTGATCTAACATTCTTTGCTGCTGGCAGGTTTTAGTGCAAAGAAGTCAGTTTTGTCACTGTGTTCCCCACCTGTCTACATTTTACCCATCCTTATGCTAGGCCATTGCACCACCACCTGTAGCTGCTCCTTTCATTGTTTAAACATCTGCCTCCACAACACTGAGATCGGAAGAACTAGATGGTACCCAGCCACCACTACCAACTGTTCTCAAAATTCTAATATAATCATTCTTCCACAGAATGGGAGAAAAATTTGAAACAAAACTCAAAACTATAAAAGAGACCAGAATTACTGGTCAGATAGAGACTGGTGGGATCTCCAAGACCATAGTCCCCAGTCACCCTTCAGGTCCGAAATGGACTCACTCCCAAGGCTCAGTGTTCTGCAAGACATCAGACAGGTCTATACGGGGAACAACAGCACTAAGGAGGTGTGCACATGTTAGAACAATCATCCATTTAAGACCAGAAGGGCAGCATTCACACCAGGATGATGCTCAGAGCATTAGGAAAGAAGAAAGAATGGAAAGAGGAAAAAGAGAAAGTGGTAAAAGGGATGGTATGTTGACAGAATTGCAATGAAGGAGCTGAAGCAAAATGCTTATGGGCTGCATGATGTAAGACTGATGATCTCCTGTGTGAGCCTTCACTCAACTCACAGTCGAACGGTTACATTTACAAAATAGCCCAAATCCAGCTGATAGTGACCCTAGAAGGGCTCGGTAAAACTGCCCCCTGTGCGTTTTTTTCATGGGATCCGAAAGCCTTATCTTTCTCCTGCAGAGTGGTGGTGGTTTCAAACTGCTGACCTTGCAGTGAGCAGCCCCAAACCCTGGAAACGTTCATCATACCTTCTCTAATTAGCCACACTCCTTCCGGAACACCTGGTTTCTTGAATGTAGCTTTCCCTGCATTGTGTGTCTTGGTTTAGTAACTTTCCCCACTCTTTCAGGTCTTTTCAACATAAACTTAAGGAACCATATAAATTAAAAATTAAGTTTCTTGGTTATCTGGTAATATGACTTACCTGGCCTTTTCCAGTTACTTAATATAAACCAATGGTCTAGTCTTTTAAGCCAGTGTTTTCCAAAGTGGGCAAACTTCCCCATGGGAGGTGCAGGAATGATCCAGGTGGCTGCAAAAACAGATACCTACACGTTATCCTGGCCGATGGACTGTAGTACAAATGTTTTCCATTGGCTGGGGTGGGGAGTGAGTGTGTGTGAGAGTACTTTCTTTTTGTTTTCAAGGGGCAGTAGGCCAAGTAAGTTTGGGAAGCTGTGTGTTCACCTGTGCTAGTAAAGCTCAGTGAAACAGAGCGCGGTGATGGCTAGGGGAGGGATGAGTTCCCACCAGTTGTTTGTTCAGTCAGCAAACCTTTACGTAGAGTCCTCCAGGGAGGTTTTGGTCCTCGAGAAGTTTCTAGTTCATTGGGAAGGATTATAACTAAATTATAACTACATAGCACATGCTCTAATGAGTGGGGCCATTTACCGAGCACAGATGAGGTGGGTTTCGTGGTAGAATGCCTCTTTGGTGTACCTCATGCACAGCCCCCACTCAGCTTGTGTGTTGCTCTGATGCTGAGCGGGTTTCAGTGGGACTTGTGCACTAAGATCTTCTCAGGAAAGGCCTATCTAGTTGGAGAGCAGGAGAAAGATGAGCCTTTCTACTCCTATAAAGATTTACGCTGTCGGAAAGATCAGTTCTTCTCTCTCCTGTCGGGTTGCTATGAGTCAGAATTGACTCGCTGGCAGTGAGTTGAGTTGATCTACTTTTGAAAATTAGTGAAAACCCTGTGAATCACAGTGGTCGAATTTTAACTGTGTTAGTCCGGGTACACTAGAGGAACAAACCCATAGAAACTCACATGTGTATAAAAGAGAGTTTTATATAAAGGGTAATTGTACATTGAGAAAGTATCCCAACCCAGTCCAGTCGAAGCCCATAAATCCGATATTAGCCCATATGTCCGATACAAGTCTATAAAGTTCTCTTCAGACTCATGAAATACATGCAATGATGCCGAATGCAGGATGATTACAGGCCAGTGGGCAGAAAGTCTTTGGATCCAGTGTTGTTGTGAGCATCTCAGCGCTGGCGGGGGTCTCTATGTGGCTTCTCCAGCTTCTTAAGTCTGGTTGCATCAGGGTAGGTCCTTGTGGCTTCTCCATCACCAGGCACTAGCATAGTTCCACGTGTCTTGTCAGCCTCAGGGTCTCCCAGGGAGTGAACAGAGAGAACAGTGTCTCTCAACTTCAAGGAAGAAATACAGGATTTTCCTGAATTCTCAGGAGGCCATGCCCACACAGAGGCCTCACTGGCTATGCTCTGATTGACAGGCTAGACTCCACCCCTACACTCTTGATCCTCAAATTGACAAAGGATTCTGTAAAACTACCACAGTAACCAACCCTGGGGAGGGCACAGGGCTAGGCAGCACTCTGTTCTCTTGCACACAAGGTGGCCAGGGGGTGGAAGCCAACTCCACAGTAGCTGACAACAAAAACAACAACAATGGTACCCAAAGAATAGGTAGCTAAGCCAGACCTAGAGACTCACTGAAGACTTACCAGAGGGGGTATCATCTAGACTGAGCCTCGATGGAAAGACAGAAGTTAGCCAGGCAGAAGAGGAATGGAAAGCAATTCCTGGCAGGAAAAAAAAAATACCCAAAGGAGTTTAGGGGAAGAGAGGTTGGACATTTCTAATCTTGCATATGTTCAGGGGATTTCGAGATTGCACTGTGGCGAGTGTGAGCACTGGTGTGGGGAGATTGCGCAGAATGGAAATGGAAGGGAAACACAAAACGAATCATTCAGATGCCTGGCTCAGGATCCTGAACGTTAGCTTGAAGGTAATGGGGAAACCATCACATTTTCAATAAGGGAAATAGAGGCTGGTCTTCCTAAAACTGTCCCTAATTTAGACAGGTGGGCACCTCCACTATTTCTCTCAAGACTGAATGATATGGAGTGGCCATTACTCAGACTCAGTCCATTGACAATCCGTGATCATTTGGAGACAGTTTACCTACTAGGTTAGCAAATGTCTGACTGAAAACCTCACTGCTCAAACAAGGACTACCTTCAGCTACAAGAAAGGGTAGCTATACAGCTCAAGAATAAAGACCTGCTTTTTTTTTTTTTCTAAACAAGTATAGGTGTGGAATCTAAGTTCCGTTAACACCATCTCACCCCCCTCCACTGCCACCAATTTTCATTTATTTAGCATCTCAGTCTAGTTTGTATTCACCAGATGGAAGGACTCTGTGAAACATGTCCAGGTGAATGTATCTAAAGGGGGCATTCTATAAAAGTATTAGATTTATGTAGGTCTCTTGTACGCATGGAAGGAGTGTCTAGCAATATTTATGTGTTTTGGCAAGGACCTAAGGCTAAGATCCTGCGTGGTTCCACACCTAGATTCCTCTGTGATTCCTAAAGCTCTGAAAATGGCCATTCTGAAGATCTGGCCTAGTGAGTTTATTTGATTTATATATGAATGGGGTCCAGTCTTGGCAAAGAACTTGCAAATCAAACAGATTGGATGAGTGTTTGGATCATTTGGTTTTTGAATTCTTTCTTTTAAAATCAGTATCCCGGCACAGACTTTTCATAAATATTTTGCTATTCCTCAAAACATATATTTCTCCCTTGCTAAAGGATTAGAATATTAAAGCTATAAAATAAAATGATAAGTCATATGTTCTAAATTTTATTTCCCACTCTACCTCAGAAGAAGCCCAGTTGAAAGGGAAATATTCAGGGTGTGCCTAAGTCCTACCTTGAACATTTTTTGGACGGGACTGAACTTGCTTTATAAAACTTGTGTGCAGACATGTTAGAAAGATTGTGTGAACCCTGTGACAAGTGTTGTTCTGGAAGATATACCAGAGCAACGCCATCCCAGTGTACAAAGCTGAGGGACACTACTCTCACAGAGTCCAAAGCAAATGGTGCCCTCTTGAATTGTGCGCTGTGGACGGCCTGGCCTGAAGGCAATATATTTTCCACCAGCAAAATCTGAATTAAGCATGTCTGTGTGTCCTATGCTTCGCCTGGGGAGCGCTGTTCATTTCTGTCTGCAGAGAGGCATGCTCCAGACAAGAAGGCCTTTCGGTCAATAGGAACCAATATGTAGTCCTGAACTTGGAGGAGCTGCGGGAGGGTGCAGTCGAATCTATAACACAGCTGTGTCCCTGGATCAGCTAACACCAGGGTCATCTTTATCAACAGCAGAGGAAGAAGAGTTAGCAGATGAGGACAGAGTTATTGATGTGCAGAGGAAGGAAACCAAAGGAATTCCTTTTAGGTGACCCCCACCTTGTTCAGTCAAATCCATCTGGGGGCTAACTCAGGTGCATGGGCAGCAGTCTTCAGATAACCAGTTAGTTAGCAGGATTATGGAGGTAGAATGCTAAGGGCCACCTAGAATGATGGTGGGTATAAAATGAGGACATGGAACACCTCAAAAGGAATGCCATATTGCAGGGCCACGTATACCCCGAGCTCTGTGGTGAGGCAGTGGGAGAAAGGGAATGAGTTAGAAGGATAAGCCTGGCACCTGCCTCTATCGTCACACCACCTTCACCATTCAGAAGAACACCGTTAACAACAGCAGTTAACAACTGGTGGCATAGAGCAGACAGAAAGGAAAAATACTGCGTGCTGAGAGCCACTTCTGGAAAACATCCCCGTGCGCTCTGGCCCTTGAGGGACTCAGAAAAAGAGAATTGCGGTTTCTCAGTGTATTCTGAGCACGTCGATCCCTCAATGTTGCCGTGCCTTCATTCCGCTGCACCTGAGCAAGCCCTGGGCATGGATGGAGGAAGCTGGGGAGAGCTGCAATAGACAGATGTTAGTAATGATGTACGTCAGTGCCTCTCAAAGGTCCGGAGTTTCAGGGAGTGGATGGCTGAGCTCTGGCCTCGGCGAGCAGTCTATTCCTCGCTGCT